TACGTTTTTCTTTTACGATTCAGAACAGATTTTCGGTAAGACAAAAAACAAACAAATAATGATTTAAATTCTCCAAAATTTAAATTCTAAAATTATCTTGTTGAGTTTCTTGAGTTTTTAATAAAATTAAGTGGAATAAAAAGAAAAATATTTTAACAATTTTTTATAAAACCATAATTTCTGAAATAATTTAATTCATTTGTGAATAAATCCTAAAAGTTTTATTAAAATCAGACAATTATTTGATTTTTGCAAGAATTTCCAAATCAATGTGTCTTTCACCACAAAAAAGATGCTAAAATTTGTTATGCTAATTTATAGTCCTTCCGTTGACGCAAGAAAAAACAAGTTTTTTAATAAAAATTTAGATCCTTCTAAAAAGGCTTAAAAATTTAATTAAATTATTAAAAATATTTTGGTCTTTCCTCTTAATAATATCATAAACATTTTGACGATAAAACATAGTTTTCGTGAAGTTTGAGGCATTTTTTCATCATAATATACTCTTTTTTCAGCGAATTAGTGGAGATACCTAAGGGAAAGGTATAAATCAACATCTTCTCTCCCTAACTATGGGTTAATTAATAAGACTCGTATATATAAACAATTATTATCTCCAAAAGTAAAATAAAATTCTTACAATGCCAAAATATTTCCTGGCTTTAAATAATCTGCAAAATGTCGATAAGCCGTAGAAAACGAATCAATCAATCAATATCTCCTAAATTGAACCATTTCTACTGTGTAGTGATTTCGATCCTCACAGGGGACTCCATACAAAATTCCACATTAAATATCCAAAATAAGGGTTAACATCTAAATTCAACCAACCTAATATTTCTACTGTGTAGTTATTTCGATCCTCATTGGGAACCCCATATATAATTCCACATTAAATATCCCAAATAAGGCTTTACATTTAAATTCAACCAACCTAATATTTCTACTGAGTAGTGATTTCGATCCTCATTGGGAGTACCTGACAAAATAACACACTTAAATAACACGACAAAATCAACCAATCCTTTGAAATTTCCCTTTTGGAATGAACCGTTAAGTTAAAACACACGGAAGTGATCATCGTGACAATAATTTGGGGGACATTGTCTTTGCAATGGCTGGAGGGGAGAGTTAATTTAGAAATGAAAATGAAAAGTAAGAAAATTCAATTTAAGAAGAAAATAAATAGGAAAAAATGCATTTCCGAGATGCATTCCTTTTTCAACATTCGTTGGTCAACGAAACTGAAATCACTGGGTACCATTCCCTTTGCGATGGCACCATTCTCAAATGAACTTCCCGACCCGTAACCTTTTGTCACTGGTTCTTATCAGAGACCGTCTCCCTGTTTAGATTCATGCAGTGTCGACGGCCAGACTCCCGGTGAGTCGACTCTGGAACCTGATAAAACCGTTCTTTCTCATTAGACGGAATCCGAAGAGAAATCCGACAAGCAAATTCCTCAAAGAGTTCTGGCATTTCTTCATTTTGAGTACATCTGAGCTGTTCGGCTTAAAAAAGGAAAAAAAAAAAAAGGATTAAGTTTGTTTTTTTTTTTGAGAAGAAATGGATAAAGACTACCGTAATTGATTATATATATATATATATATATATATATATATATATATATATATATATATATATATATATATATATATATATATAGAAGTTTTTCTTCTCTCTCTTAGAATGCTGTTTTATATAAAACCAGTTGTAAGGTGTTTCTTTAATCAATTTATCTTATTATTAAACCTGACTTATTTTCCCCTTTCATCATTTCTTCCTGATGTTTTTATTTCATTTTGTTTAAATGTCATATCTCCTTCAGGACGAAGACAAACATTACTCTTAATGGATTCCTTTTCTTTACTATCTGGGAATTATCATGACTTCATGAGAAAGATAGCGAAGTTGTTTCTCTCAATCTTCTTGACGGTTTTGAATTTAAACTGAGCGCGCTATCCAAGGCTAGAGTACCTAGTCTAACCTGTTATTTAACGGATAGCTGGGATTTGGGAGATTTTCATGTACTCACGTTTTTCAATGGCGAAGGACGAGGAACATAAATACGAATGTAAAACTAACAGACCAACAGGAGTTGAACTCGACTCGCTAGTTCGACTTTTTGTGCCGATAACCGTTATACTGCCCGCACATTGAATTTTTTTTATGTCTATTCTGGGCGTGAGGGTCCATGACTCTCTACAGATTCCCCACCCCCCGCTTTTTTTTTACTATCTGGAAAATAACGTGGCATCTTTGGAAAGATAGTGGAGTGGTTTCTCGATGACTTCTTGTAGACTGGCTTCCACGCAAGGCTAGAGAGGTCGGACCGCTTGCAATATAACGCATAACTGCAAGTAGAAGAAATTGGTGACGCCGAATTTGAACACGGCTCGCCGATTTCACTTTGAGCGCAGATAACCTTTGAAAGAAAGAAAGATAAACTAGAAAGAAAGAAAGAAAGAAAGAAAGAAAAAGAAAGACAAAAGAAAAGAAAGAAACAAGAAAAAGAAAAAAGGAAAAAAGAAAGAAAATTGAAAGAAGAAAAAGAAAAGAAAGAAAAATGAAAGACTGAAGGAAAAAGAAAGCAAAATGAAAGAAAAAAGAAAAAGAAAGAAAGAAAGAAGGAGGAATGAAAGAAAAATGAAAGAAAAAGAAAAAAAGAATGAAAAAGAAAGAAAAATGAAAGAAAAAAGAAAAAGAAAAACCTAAAAAAAAATAAAAATATATGACAAAAAGAAAAAGAAACAAAAAATGAAAGAAAAAGAAAAAGAAAAAGAAAAAGAAAGAAAGCAACATTAAAAACAAACAAAGAAAGAAGGAAGAAAGAGAAATGAACGAAAAAGAAAGAAAAACGAAAAAGAAAAAGAAGAAAAATAATTTTTAAAAGAAAGAAAAGAAATTAAGAAAAGAAAAAGAAAGAAATGAAAAAAAAATGAAATGAAAAAAAAAAGAAAAAAATCCTTTCTTTGAAAAAGAAAAAAAAAAATTATTTTTTTTTACAAGAAAAAAAAAACGTTACTTTCTACATTTGTCGTTAGATGGCATTTAGTTTTAATGAATTTCACACAAAAAGATCGCTTTTAATTGTATCTACTTGACTAAAGAAATATGTTTTGTGTTCAAAAGAAAGAATAAGAAATGGCATTAAAAGCGTTAAGAGATTCGGTTTTCAAAAATCAACGACATAAATGACAATTTTTCCTAGCAACTAATTCATTATAATTTTTCCACATCAGGTCAGCGGTAAACGTCTGCTCTAGAAGGTCCAAGGAGTCACTCTCCTGGAGGTTAGCATCAGCCATGCTGCTCTAAGGCAAAAAAAATTCTCTCAATAATTAACTGTGTTTGATTTATTAACGTGTAACTTTTTCTTTTCTGTTTTAAATATATAGAGTCGATCATAATCGCTGAATATTTAAAGAGATTCTGGTGAGAAAAAAAAAACCTTTCTTTTCACACTATGTTTCTTGTGGTCAATGTTCTGCTATGCATTCGCTCAAACTCTTTAGATGGCATTAGGAGCGTTTAGCTCTAAGTAATTTCATTAAACGATCGCTAAAATGTTCATTTTATGTTTGTCATTAATTGGCAGTCGGCCTGGCTTATTCGTCGTTGTTGTTTTATCTTCTATGTGCCGTCTTCCGTTTGGGAATGGGCGATCACGGATTATGCCCCTTTGGTCCTTAGCAAATTTTAGAAAATTTTTGCCAAATTCCCACCTCTATTCCAAATCCATTTAAAGGAATTTCATTAGGCAGATGCTCTGCTAAAATTTACATTGTCAATTTGCCTTTAATATGTCCTGTAAGTTATCAAAATTTCAATTTATAATCTCCTTCCTCATTATGTATCGAAGAAATTTTTAGCTGTCTCTTTCTGCTTCTAAATGTAGGAGATTTTTTCTTGTTGGTATCCTCGTTGCTACCTCGCCTCGTCTATGGGCCTTAGGCCATGGCAGCTGTCAGAATCCAAAAATATTGAGAAATGGGTCCTGTTTATAATATCGATATAGTTTAAAAACAAATCATGACTTTTACAGAGTTATTGAACTTAATATTTATAAATGTCGAGTTTGACAGTGTGCTAACATCGTTGGCATTTATATTTTCTTTTTAAATTTTTGAATTGTTTTTTTTTAATTTTTTTTTTTAAACATTCCACCCCAATGCAAACAAGGGTTACCATTAGCAATTTGCAAAATGTTTATAATTTCTGGGATCAAAACAAAGGGCGTGATAGAGGAAAGGATGAAAGTGAGAAGGACGGGGAATAGGAGATGTCGATTGACATTGCATTTGAATATTTCAGAGATTATAGCTACCAAAAAACAAAATTTTTTTGGAGTTCCACTGACAGGAAGTGCAGACATGAAGCTATTGAATGTAGAAGAATTCGAAATGCTACATTCAACCGTTTCGATATTGAAAGGGCTATGATTTTTTTATCAATTTCTTTAATTTTGGGTTACTTTAAATTTTTAAGATTTCTTTTATTCGAAAAAAAAAACCGGAATAAAAATTCCACAGGCGAGAATAAATTTAAAAGAATTATCAGAATAGAATTTACACTTAGCAATTTCAGCAGTAAAATCTAACTGGCAATCTAGTATTGCGCTTACATTCGGGAAGTCGGGTCACCAAAGAAGAGAGATCATTAGATCAAATGCTATGAAAATATTTATTCAAATGGCAGAGGGAAATATGCAAAACTTTAAAAAAAAAAAACTGGAACGGAGATGCCATTTGAAACCGAAAATATTTTAGATACTTCTTTGAATTTAAAGATTTTTAGAAGAAAATGAATTATTATCAGAAAAATTTTGTACGGCTAATTGTTGAAAAGGTAGCGATCGAATCAAAAAATTTTTTCAGATATAAAAATCAAAATTATACACGCTTAGGCGAGAAATGTATCTTTTCGATAGATGACTGACTTGAAAAGATTTTTCCCCTTAATTCTGTATTTCTTTCTGCGATTTGACCAGACCATGTTCAAAAGTTTATAATAAAGTAAATTCTGCTATTTACCTATTTTTACGGTGGGACAGAAGAAGAGGATTCATTACTTTTAAGAGGTTATTAGCTAATTGAATGTAATGGATTCGACTGAATTTTTCTTGGCTCTTTCTGATTCCTCAGTCCGAAACCGTCAAAGTTAAAAAATGACATTACATTAATATCAAGCTTGGAAAATCTTTTGCATTAGGTTGTTTATTTAAAACTTTGATTTATAACTTCTGTAAAAACGAAGAAACTTTATTTAAAATATTTAAAATTTAATTTTGTTGAAAAATAATATAAATACTTTCAATTTCCAGCGAAATAGATCGTCTGACAAGTCAAATGAGCCAGGATGACGAAATTTTTAAAATCAAAACGTCACCCCTTTTTAGAACTATTATTTTTATCATTTATCCCCAAGCAATTTTTTTTTTATTAGGACACGAGGGGTTACTTGGATTGGAAGAATTTCTTTAGTGAAAAAAAATTTCTAAAAAGGAAACGTTTCAAAAAGACATTTTTCTTGACACTTCAATTTTGAAGATTTAAACAGGGGAAGAAACAACCGAGAAAAGAAACGTTTAGAATAGAACTTACGGTTGACATTTAATAGATTATTTTTCAACAGTAAAAAACGAAATAGAAAAATTTTCAATCTAGTTGTAGGATCATATGCAAAATGAGAAGGAATAAAAGAAAAAAATACAAATATAAATTTTATTTAAATAATTTCAATGTGTGCATAAAAATAAAAAACTATTGATATTATCAAAGAAAATAAACATCACAAAACACTAGAAAAATTTAATTCTAAAGTCGATGTCAACTTTAAATACGGTCAAATCACGCTGAAAAAACACCGGTTCTCGTTAGATCACCGAAGTTAAGCATCGTAGAGCCAGGTCAGTACTTAGATGGGGACCGCTTGGGAACACCTGGTACTGTAAGCCCCCAAAGTCCAACCCTTACCTCACAGTCGGTGGGGGGTGTAAACAGTAGTGTCAGAGTTATGCCGTCCGGAACTTCGTTCCTGGTAGGGCCACAATAAGGCGGACAGGTCTGACACACACGCCGGCTAACAAGGGCTCTGGTGAAAATCCAAGGAGCGTCTGCATCGGTAACCGGCGGCTTCTGGTCGTTCCTGTCTCTGCGTCTGTGGGAACCCCGGGCAAGCAAGAACGTTATCCGAGTAGGCCTGGGTACCCTACTTCTGTAATTTATCCCAAGAATCTTCTTCTCATAACAGGAAGAAGCCGGCTCAATCCGCCCAGGGTGAATGCCGCATCAGTAAAACAGTACAAATAAGTAAGTCTAACATTTTGAGAAGAGATGATTGTAAAAGAACAGGCATGAAAGTATTTATCATAAAAAAAGACAAAAATTCAATCCCAAATCGGTGGAAAATCCATTTTACAGAAGATGAATATGCCAGGTGAGTTAATCGAATAAAATTATTGATTCTTCTTTGGATTTTGATTTTTACTTTCCAGAGGAAGCAATAATATATAGAATAAAATGTCGCTGCCGACACTTGAGTTTGAACATAGATCGCCAGTGAGCAAACACAGGCGATCCCATTATTGAATTAAATAGACCACGTGACCATAGAAAAAAATATAAGGAAGTAGAATGACGTCCAATTGATCGTCATATTCTATATTCTATCCTCTATTATTATTCGGATCACTATTTCTATTCTATCCTCTATTACTATACGGACCGCTATTCTCTCTCTCTCTATTCACTATACTATTTCTCTATTCGGATCACTATTCGGATTACTGTGCGAGCGAGTATTATCGAGCAAGTACTATTAGTGCGAGTGATATTCAAAGGCGTCTGATACCAGTATTGTTCAACGGCGTTACTATAGTTGTATCTGCGATTGTAAAGTCTCTACTACAACGAGCATTACGAAAGTGACAACGAGTATTCGTTGACATCACAAAAGTGGCAACGAGTGTTCGTTGACATCACAAAAAAAACAGACCACATTGCTCCATAACAATATTCAATTCAAATTCTTCAATCTAGGATTATATAATTTTCTTACTTTAACCATTTAATTGAAAAACCTTTTTAATTTTTTTTCTTTTTAATCACAATAAACAACAAATTTTTTTCCACAGTTATTTTATAATCGATTTTGTGTTTTTCCGCAGATTATTCTTATATCGTTGTTTGGTTGGTACAATTCATTGAACCTATTTTAAAAATGTATTTAAAAACGTTTTCAATTTGAAAAATATTTCATCAGATTTTTATCAAAGTTTTACACTATTGTCTTGACTGCAGATTAACGTCCCAATTTCTTCTGTGTCATGAACATTTTCAAAAGAAGCATATCGAAAATTATAACACTGCATCAAACTTTTGGCAAGCCTTACCAGTGAGTAATTCAAAATATTCTTTATAGACTGACTTACATAATCTCCTGATTTTAATCAAATTGAGAAACTCTGTGGTCAATCAAACTTAAGAACAAACGACCAAATTGGCATGGACATAAAAAAACACTAACATGTTTACACTAGGTCATGTTTCATTGGAAAATATGAAAAAAAACGTAAAAAAAATAACAAAATTATTTGTTTTGTTTTTAAACAATTTTTTTTTTATGACATGTATTTAGTGATTGTGACCAGAAAAAAGTCTGACATGAACCATCCTTCTTTAACCAAAACAAAATTGAGTGCAAATGGCTAAAATTCAGGAGCAACTGAAAATGGCGATATAATTTGTAAATTTACATGGAAAAAGTTAACAATCAAATTTATGAACATAGATTGTCTGAATTTCTGAAATTAAAAGTTAAAAAATTGAAATTTTTACACTGGGAATATTCCTAAGATTTTTCTTCTTCTTCTTCTTCTTCTTCTTCAAAAAAATTTTTTTTTTTTTTTTTTCAATGAAATTCTTTCTTCTTTTTTTCTTTTCTTCTTTTTTCTTCTTTATTTTATTATTAATATCATCAAAACATTATTTAAGTCGTTGTTACCTCCGTGATTTTCTACACTCACATGCATTGAATTATGGGACAGTCGTCTAGTGATAGTAGTGACATAGTAATTGTGTGTTCAGTCTCGGACCTGGCAGTGTATAATTGGAAATTGGGTGAGCAACATTACTAATTAAGAATTGGGCGATAAAAAATTATTCTTTTGAAATTGATGCATCTCTGAACTTAGAAAATCGTAATTTTTATTTAAAAATTACCGTTTCTTTCATAGAAAATTCATGACGCTGACGGCTTTAGAAGACGTTATATAGTAGTATAAAGAAATTTCTAAAAAAAAAAATCAATGCATACAAACATTGGACCCCATGCATCCCTCACATATTTAAAACCAATTTTACATTAATCAATGGTCCGATTTTGTTTGTATGTCAATGACATACTTCCAAAAATGTAAGGCTCCCGCCGCTGCTAGTAAACAGACATCATTTAAGTTTGTGAAAGCTCAGGCTCCAGGAAGGTTTATAGTCTTGGAAATACTTGTACCAGCTGGATGTTACATCATAAAAAAGTTGAATTAGATAGCAATCATAGTTCCAATGACTCAACATATGAATCCATGTCCCTATTAGTCTATCCAATTCGATGAAAGTCCAAGTTTCTTGATCCTGGGCGTTGAAAATCATTAAAGTCGAAAAAAAACAAATATTTGTCAGGGTATTTTTAGGAAAGGAATCGCGTCTTGTAAGCCGGAAAATACGGTAATTCATTTGGAGCCGTATTATACCGATTGGAACATTTTAAATGATCATATTTTTGTGCATTTTATCAGTGATGAAATTCTATATTAGATTCTAATATTCTATAAAATAGAGCCAGTAATTCTATAAGACTTATGAAACTAACATCTCAATAATGGAAAACCTGGGTTTATTAAATTCAAACATGTCGCGTACAATCTATTTTACATTTTTGATCATTTTTAGATCGAAGGCCGGACCTATCAGCGACCACGGTGAATTGATGTCCCCAGAAGAGTGCAATTAAAAAGGGTCTATTCAATTTAAACCCATTTAAGACCTCATGTGGAACTTGTACATACGATCCATCGGTAAAGATGCTGGAAAAAATAGTCAGTTCCTGGACCGTTTATATATAAGACATTTCACTCTTCCTGCTGTTTTAATATGCTTTTACATAGAGCCAGATCAGAAAATAAAGTACGATTGCATTAGATATATGGACAGGAATTTACTGTCCAGTCTTCACTTCTTTGTCTCGATAGGTCAGTTTAAGCGTCTCCAATTGAATCCCTGTTGAAATGACAAATTATTTTCCACCCCTACAACCCCACTTTCCCACAATACTAATGGTCACAAGCCTCTCGCTCTCTCTATTTTTTTTCCATGGGAAGTAATCTAGATGAACCCTTCCTTAGTTCCACCAGTTCTAACCATCTCATTAAATAAGATCCTCCATGCCACACCCATTGTAGTGAATTTTTCTCATTCCCTTCGTCGTATTCCATTGGTGAGATTTATTTTTATTACAAATTCTTCCTACGAACCAGTTTACTTTGTGAAGCCGTACTCCCAAGAATTTATTGATCACTATAATCTTAACCTGTTCAAGTCTAGAGTTAATCGTTATCCTCCACACATATCCATATAAAAAATAAAATTTTTGACTCTGAACCTTTACTGTGTGTTTGAAATTGTGAATATTAATGGCATTCCTCAATTAACATCATTGTACAAAAAGATCTTAAAGTTAATAATTGACCAATTCAATTCTTCTTATTTATTCTTATTTTGAATTTAGTCAATATCAACCTCAATTTATTTAATGCCGACAACATTTTAGGAAAGATTCGTATGAATAGAATATGTATTCTTTGGTTTGGTTTGGTTTGGTTTATTTTGTTTTACGGCATATCAACCTCAATGGGTTATTTAATGCCGACAACATTTTTAGGATAATGTTCGTATGAATAGAGTATGTATTATTTTTTTAGATTGGTTTGGTTTATTTTTTTTACATATCAACCTCAATGGGTTATTTAATGCCGACAACATTTTTTTTTGCTGGTAATACTTTGTTTTGTCAAAAATCTGTTTCTAGTAATATCTTTCCTTCAGAATTGTATTGCTGGTAATAATTTGTTTCAAAAAAGTATTACTGGCAATAGTTAACTATTTGCCCATAGCTGGGGCCCTAACAGGTGCTACCACCCCGGGTCAGGGTGGACCTGAGAACACCAGCAATTAAGAGGTGGTTCCACGCTCCTCAAAACCTCCTGATTAGAGACCTTGCTGCTGGATGTAGTTTAACATCTTACCCGGGATGCGGAGATAGTTTAACGTCTTACCCGGGACGCGGAGGTAGTTTAACGTCTTACCCAGGACGGTAATAATTCTATAAAATCTTAAGATCTTAGAATCTGTGATACTCCTTTCAAACGTGAGATATATGTCCAGCCGAATTTAATGAATCGGGAGCACTAGTTTGAAAATTATTATGGTTTTATATAGTCAAGTAATTGGAATAGAAAAAGATGCCTTTCAAACACTAAGTAAAATACTAAGAAACAGGAAAACTTCGTTAGAAACAAAGAAAAGAGTGCTGAACTGCTATATGATATCAATCCTCCTACACAGCATGAAGAAACGAAGGGAAGTAATCGGAATATGGTTCTACAGAAGAATGCTGAGAATTCCATGAACGTAAGCACGTTCACACTCCTACCTCTTTTGAACAAGAGTAGAGGTTTATCCCTTGGTTCCTGTTTAGGATTGGGTTTCCGGTTCCTTCTAAAGCCTTCTCTTTCATATCCAGTGACCCATTGCACCTTGGTTGCATTATCATCTCGCTTGGCATGGTACTTCTTACTCCGTAACCCTCTACCTCGAGTGGCTCTTGGGTCGGGTGAACATCATTGGAAAAGAAAAAAAAGGAATAAGCGAAGCTTAAGGAAAATAGAAATAAAAAGGTCACGTGATCGTCACTCTGGCACTCTCTAGCTTGAGTGGTTCTTGGGGCTTTCATTGGGTGAAATATCAGTATAGAAAGAAAGAAAACAAAAAGGAGGAGATAGCTGAAATATCTTGGACACATGATAAAGAAGGAGGGCTTGGAGAATTCGGCACTCACAGGATATATCGAAGGCAAAAGTGACAAGGGTGTCAATGGTCCACTTACATCAGCAGCTTGTGTGAATGTATTGCGGAATGAATATCAAAAGCACTACACGGAATAGGAAGTTGTGGAGAGCCATGATCGTCAACGTTTTCAAGGGGCACGGCAGACAGAAGAAGAAGAAGAAGAAGAAGAAGAAGGTGGAACGTGCCGTAATAAGATTTTGCCGTTTCCGTCGGATATTACCGCAGGCATCAAGGTATGCCTCTGAGCCTAGTTTCTTAAAGTAATGAGGAAGGTGTTACCTGGAAGAGGGGTGTGCAGTAGGAGACTTCTGTTAATTATTCTCTGCTTCCAGCCATGTAGAGGCGGAAACCGAAGATTGATTAAGATCACAAAAAGTGTGTTACACTGGTTAGCTAACCATTGCCACATGGCAAGGCGATCAACGCACTGACTTTTGCGCTTTCATTGTCAGATTTTATTTATTTAGTTCCTTGCTTATCTACTGCTCGTATGTCTGTCTGTTTGTCTCCTGCTGCCTCTTCGGATAAAAGCGGTGATTAAAAACAGGTGTGGCATTCGCCTCGTTTTTAAGGTGGTCTCAAGGTTTGGGGTGGCTTGGGGAGCCGGGGATTCAGAATAGATAAAGTCATCTTGGATTTGAGACTTGGCAGTGGCAGTTCGCCCCCTAACGATGAGGAGAGAGAGAGGGGGGATGAGTGTGTGTGTGTGTGTGTGTGAGAGAGAGAGAGAGAGCAAGATAGTGAGAACGAAAGAGAGAGGGAGAGAGAGAATTAACGAAATAGTGCGTCATGGCGAGATAGTTTAGGAAGCCGGAATTCACTTAGATAGATAGATAGAAAGAAAGAAAGAACGAAAGAAAGATAGACAGAAAGATAGATAGAAAGATAGATAGATAGATAGATAGATAGATAGATAGATAGATAGATAATGAACAAAGGTAGATAAACAGACATGAAGAAAGTGAGTGAAATAGAAGATAGATAGATAGATAGATAAACAGACGTGAAAAGAGTGAATGAGATATACAGATAGATAAATAGATAGATAGATAGATAGATAATGAACAGAGGTAGATAAACAGATATGAAAACAGTGAGATAGATAGATAGATAGATAGATAGATAGATAGATAGAAAGAAAGAACGAAAGAAAGAAAGATAGACAGAAAGATAGATAGATAGATAGATAGATAATGAACAAAGGTAGATAAACAAACATGAAGGAAGTGAGATAGATAGATAGATAGATAGATAGATAGATAGATAGATAGATAAACAGACGTGAAAAGAGTGAATGAGATAGATAGATAGATAGATAGAGAGAGAGAGAGAGAGTGAGAGAGAGAGACTGAGTGAGTGAGAGAGCCAGAGAGACATACATGAAGAGCGTGCAAGGCAGACAGGTGTGGACAGACTGAGGTAGATATAAAAAAGCGAAATATATATCTTTTTTTCTTAAAGGTTTTTCTTTTTTATCTGATGTTTACGATGAACGTTATTTTTCGTGGTGATACCTACTTGAGTTGGAATCCTTGGTACTTTCTATTAGAATTTTCTTTAAATGTGAAATTAACAGCAACCGGCCTAGATCTAGAAGTCCTACTGAACAAAACTTGTGATTCTGACAGGAATTGAAACAGTATATACCGAAAACTATATATATATATATATATATATATATATATATTCCAGGAACAAAATATATTCTGGTCACCATAGCGACTGGCTTATCCCCTTCCTTCCCTCTCTCACTCTCTTTCCTTAACCCCTCCCCATGTCTTTCCAATAAACCTAATTTGGAATTTTCTGTCTTTTTCCCCTTTTAACATTAAAACCTTTCCTGTTTCTCTTATTTTTTCTTTCTTCCTTTTTTTACGTTTGTCTTTGCCTTGTTTGTAAATAAATTGAACTCTATTTATTTTGTATAATTTGACCTGAAAACATGGATATCTGAGTCCACGAAATAAAATATCACCTGAATGAAATTTAAGGATTCTGTATTCATTATTATATTGCTCTGTTCTTACATTGAGCTCTCTGTGGATTTATATCCTCCGTGGAATTATCCCTACTAATTATCAGGTGATATCATTTATATATATATAAATTTTATATACTTACTGAGGTTACAAACAGTCAAAATGAAAGAACAGCCACACGTGCGTAGATGAAAAAAGAGCGGTTTATTGTAAAAATGAATACACTCCTGAAAGACAGGGAATCGGGTGGCAGGCTAGTAATTCCCAAAGCAAGGATATTTATCTTACCTCCCCGGAAGGTAGCGTGTGGCACAAGGCCATTTTAATGCGGAGCAAATCCGAGCCCATAGGCACGGGCAAAAATTCCCCGTAGACCCCGAATAGACGGGGTCGGGTAGCTGTCTACCACCCCAGACGAGACTCTGCCCTTCGGCATAGCTGGAGACGAATTTCCAACTAATTGCCGAAACAAGGTTATTTATCTTACGTCCCCATGAGGCAAAATGTAGCACAAGCTAGCCAAAGCTAACCCCCTGTGCTCACTACATATAGCTACAGATATAGTCAGTCCACGTAGGCGATAGGGAGTGTGAGACATTCCATTACAACATATATATATATATATATGTGTGTGTGTGTGTGTGTGTGTGTGTGTGTGTGTGTGTGTGTGTGTGTGTGTATGCATAGGGTTAGATAAATGAGATAACTAGATATTAGCAACCGTATACGCGTGTGTTGGCGTGCATACGCTGGTAAGCATATAAATAATTACCGAATTTAGCCAAGATGTGTAGACATAATAGTGCTCAATGTGATTAGACAGAGCTAAGAAATATATGTAAATAAATACACATATATCTACGTTTGGTTTGCGACTAAAGTTTTTTTGGTTAACCAACTCATCAGGCACAATGTATACTTTTTAAAATAAACAATAAGCGATATATCGTGCCCGATGAATTGGGTAACCAACGAAATTCGATTCGCACATCAAACGTTGGTATATGTGTATTTATTAATATATATATATATATATATATATATATATATATATATATATATATATATATATATATCCAGTAAGATAAGAACAAATGGAGTATAATTTAATTTAAAAGAATGCTCAATACAAAATAGAGCTAAAATATTATTTTTTATCGGAGAATAAAACAAAACATGTTAAAAATCGCTACACAATAGCAATCGTGTTTCAGCACTACAAATGTGTCTCCTCAGATGATGGTAAATTACTGGTGAGTAATTTCAAAAGCAGTATAGTTCCTGTTTTTATTTTAAAGTAAACGAGGAAACGAAAAAATGAGGCTTGTAAGCTTACCAATCAAATATGAGACCAACGCTGAAATCTACACCAACTGAAAAATAATTTATGCGGGTCATGACCTGAACTTGCCTACATAAAATCTTAGACAACTTCGTTTGGGACTGATACAAGTGATTACAATATTTCTTAAAATATAGAGAATTATAATGTTCAACTTTCACAGGAAGTTAAAAGGAAAGAGGCTGGGTAAGTAATTTTTAAATGGATTTTTAATCCAATATAATTTCCTCTTACGTTATTTTTCCCCCAGAAACACGTGTTTGAGTCAAAATCCCTGTGTTTTATTTTCATAAACCATGAAATTCATAACCACCATCCCAGATCGAGAAGTCCTAACAAAGGAAAAGAAAATACCTCTCGCAGTTGAACTTCTCATCTAGGCCGGTTGATATCAATTTCTTATTTATTCAATCAAGCTAGCTTGAACATTCATGAGTCTGTAACGCTAATCATCACGTTCTTGCGTCAAATTCCGTCCTGGATATGACGATAAACTACATTTCCGTCATGGGTAAGACGATAAACTACGTCCAGCAGCAATGCCTCTGATCAGGAGGTTTTGAGGAGCATGGAACCACCTCTTAATTGCTGGTGTTCCCAGGTCCACCCTGACCTGGGGTGGTAACACCTGTTTGGGTCTCAGCTATGGGCAAATAGTTAACAACCAAACTTGTGTAAAAATAGGTTTTAATACCAGAAATACTTTGTAATAAAAAAAAATTATTACCAGCAATAATTTTTGAATGAAAAATTATTATCAGCAATACTTTAAAAAAACACCAGCAATGCAAACAGCTATACATTCTTTGGAAAAAATATGACCAGCTATAGATTTCTTCAAGGAAAAATATTCCCAGAAATAGATTTTAGAAGAAAAACGTTACCAGCAATAAATATTTTGTCGGCATTAAATAACCCATTGAGGTTGATATGCCGTAAAACACACAAACAAACCAACCAAATACAAAATTATTGCAATATATTGCTACATTTCATCAACATATATAGACATTCCACATTCATACAAATCTATCCTAAAAATGTTGGCGGCATTAAATAACCCATTGAGGTTGATATGCCATAAAACAAAATAAACCAAACCAATCTAAACCAAAGAATACATATTCTATTCATACGAATCTATCCTAAAAATGTCGGCATTAAATAATCCATTGAAGTTGATATGCCGTAAAACAAACCAAACCAAACCAAACCAAACCTGCGTCAAACTCGGAAGGTTGGCATTCGGTGTCATAACATAGCTGGTCAATGTAGTTTGTTCCTGAATGACCAACCCGTCTCGATCCATGGCTAAGTGTCCAGAGCGCAGTCGATCACTCACGAATTCCTGTCCTGCAAAAGCGCATTCTATGTTCGCGTAAAAACATAGATTTCAACTCAAACACTAAAAATAACGTTTATATTAATTTATGCGGGTCTCTCTCTCTCTCTCTCTCTCTCTCTCTCTCTCTCTCATCTATCTATCTATCTATCTATCTATCTGCTGTGCTAAGAGCCATTTACCCTCCTTACTATCATGAATGGGTTGATCCATTCATGATAAGTAGTCCTGGGTAATTGTCTCTCGAAAGAAGATAATACTATTGCAGTGACACTATTTACATTATTCGGACTATTGTCGTCATCTTTGTCGCCATATTTATTACAACGTTTCGGTCGTAGTACGCTCCGGCTTTCTTCAGGTGGTTGGAATGTCGAACTGAACCCTTTATTTCGCTCGCTGGGGAGTTCTTTTTTAATTCCACGTGCCATGTCTAATGGATGTCTGTTATCAGTTATCTCCTGTTAATTCCCCTCTCTAAGTTCTCCACTATTCTCCAGTTTATCCATTGTGTCATGTGTCCTTAAGGATACATGGCACAGTCGATAAAGGCGTTGGTTAGATGCAGGGACAGGACCAAAAGAGTTGTGAGTTCAATACCTGGTTTCTTTTGTGGACAACTTGAAGAGGTGAATTAACAGGAGATAACTTATTTGACATCCATTAGACATGGCACTCCACTAGAACAGTCTACCCCCAGCGAATGAAATAAAGGGTTCAGTTCTACATTCCAACCACTTGAAGAAGGATGTTTAATGTATTCAAACCGAAACGTTGTGATAAATATTGCAACAAAGATGAGGACTATAGTCTGAATAATGTAAATAATGTACATAATACCTCATCTCAGAAATAGAGACAGATACTATTGCAAGGACTTGTATAGCTGAGTATTAATTACTCCTAGCATGACTGACTCTGTCGAGTTTTGTGTTGTGTCTTGCCAGACCCCAACACTATCATTTCTCCTAACAAATTCATTAGCGGATGTCTTCCTAAGAGTATTTCTCTGAGCATTTGAAATCATTTTTGTCATTATATAATCGGACTAGAATCCTCATCTTTGTTGTTTCGATAAGTTCGTTTCGGCCGGTGGGATCTCCGGCCTTCCTAGACTTGTTTAAAGTTCTGGGGCGTGATATAGTTGTTATCATCCTCTTATAATTCTGATCGTTCCTTAGCACGCACGTTACGTCCTTTCAATACCTAATAAATAATGGGCTCTTCCGTTTTCCTTACAAGGAAAGAAAGTAAAGACCTATCAGTCAGTGTTTGGTTCCTGAGAAATAAATAAATAAAGAAATGGTGATAGAGAAAATAGAGGAGATGATAAAGCTCTCATGTGTTTAGTGTCTGCTTCAGTGAAATAGAAAATATATCACTTTCAAATCTTTTTATTTGTATCCTCGTACTTTAAAACAAAAAAAAAAATGACCTACAGGCATAACCATGATTGCCATTTCGATATTTGGTAAAAGTTGTTAAGCTCAAATACTTAACGATGCAATGGGGCGATTTGGACGGATATTTTATAGTCGTAGGACTCACAAGGAGCTTATTCAATCGTTAACTTAAAAATTATGATTCATCAGAAGATTCAAACAGGAATAGCGTGAAATTTTGATGGGTACTACTAGTTCGGTTTATTGTCGCTATCTGGATTAGAACAATTCAGAGAGTTGAAGATGAAAATCTTTTCTAAAAAAAGGACATT